TTAATCAAATTAATTGAAGATTCGATTGAGGATTGATTTACGGAAGTATTCTCGCCTTTAGCATGTACTTCACAAAATCTTTTTTTTTCGTTTTTTAATATAGATACTCTAAATCTTTAGGATATATTTTCAAATATTTGAGAGTTGAAATTGCCTGAAACGAACCTAGATAATCGATTTCTCTCAATTTATGCACTTTCCTCGAAACAATAACTGGGAAATGATAATAACATAGGAATTTATTCGTCATTGTAACGTCCGACGCGCATATACACATGCGCCCCGTCCGTCATTCGCAAAGAGCACGTATTATCTCGCGCAATTAACATAGTTCCTGCTTTATTACAAGCAGATACCAGGTATAAAAATATACCTATGATCAGAATAAAAATCGTCAAATCTTATTATTATTCGCGTTCATATTTCTTTTTACCCTCACAACTACCTTCTTCTTTCCCATTAGAGAATCTTATGACGAAAAACGCTTCTGGGCTACGCCCATGTATCAAAGCAACATTTGATGGACTCTCTAATCCTTCTAAATCCCTAATATAGATTTCAATCAAAATAGATAAATAGATAGAATTCGGATCGAAAAAAAGGACGCGTGGTGACAGCGCTGCCTTAGAGATTTAAATAAATAATAAATAATAAATACGTGGTCAATATTAAAGCGGAGAAATTGAAGGCATCTACCACGAACGCTCGTTATTATTTGGCGAAACTTGTCTTAAAATAAATACTTTACAAATTACATAATTAAAGATATTAAAAATATAAAAATATTAACGTTTCAGCCTTAAATTAGGCCATCTTCAGTATATGTAGTCAAAATTATAAAATTCATAAACGCATTATTAACAGTCAAAATTATAAAATTCGAAAACGTAAATATAAAATTTTTTTATGTATATATTTTATGTATACATATATACGACATCAACACTCTTCGCAGTCATACCGTCAGTACGAATTGAGGAGCGCAAGCCAAAGGACACTCGATCGATGATCATTCATATATATGTATAAAATAAGTTAGACATTATCTTACGTATTCAAAAATGTTCACGCAAAACAGTGTAGCACAAATGTAAGTACATTTGTTACAAATTTTTAAAAGAAAGATGACTATTCTTCAATAACACTTTTAATAATTGTAGATGTACATAGATATGAGTAACTAATAAAACATTAATTTATGCAAAATATAAAAAACGACGGTCTGAAACGAATGGTAATACGGATTTTCTATACAAAACTTTATAGATAATTTAGTTATTAATATTTATGTTAATACTTTTATGTTGAATCAGCAATAAACAGATTAGTAGTCATAAAAGCACAGCTATTAATCAACCAGAAACTACACAACAAATCGATTTGGGCGGAATGCAAAAAGATTCTGGTAAATTTATATTAAAGGAAGTTTAAAAGTCTCTTCAAATTATATATCGCATTTAAATATGTATATATTACATTTTTTTAACTTTTTTATACTTTAGAATACAATAATAATTTTTTATTTTGTGCGTTCTCATATTTTTAAAGAGAAAACATCGTGATTTATATTCGGAATATAACTGTTATAAAAATACTAAACGGCTGAGAATGGAAAAAGCTGATATTATTCGGAGAACAATTTGTGCTTTCTCGCAGGAGTTATTTGAAGATATTACTCGTTATATACTTGAGAGCATGTCACCATTAAGCACTGTCGTTCTTCCAACTTTTCGAAGAATGTTTGACAGTAAGCGTAGTATTTTTTCTATCATTAATGTGCTTGAACATTTGTGCACACGCGTATATTTGATGGCCCTGAAATAATTACATTCACATTATAGGTTTCCGAATAAAGCACGGAGACAAATCTTTGAAACATCTGACTCGAAACACTTTAAAAAAGAAAATTGATATCATTTACAGGGGGCAGATGGAAATCATCAAGAATCATTTGAAAAATGTTCAATATGTTTGCACCACAGCGGATATATGGACTGCGCCCGATCGTAGATTTATTGGCGTTACGGCTCACTGGGTAAATAGTTTTGAATTTATACCAAACTTAGAAACTTGTTCCTATTGATGCATTAGACATCTTTATTTTTTGCAGTTATGCGAGAAAACATTGAAAAAAAAATCGGCTGCTTTAGCTTGTAAAACAATAAAAGGTACTCATACAAATGAAGTCATTGGCACTGAATTATTCAGAATACATGCGTTATTTGGATTAAATAATGAAAAAATGGTAGCAATGGTTACTGATAATGGATCTAATTTTATTAAGGCTTTCAAAATATTTGGCTTAAGCAGTAGCACTATTTTGGAAATTGAAAGAATGAGCGCGAATGATGTGAACGAGTTAGAAGAAAAGGAAAATAATGACTTGGCAGAAACAAATAATGACGAAAGTATGAATGAGACAGATGAGGCTTCCTACTATCCACATGGGTTATTAATGGTTGTCTAAACAATAAAAGGTACTCATACAAATGAAGTCATTGGCACTGAATTATTCAGAATACATGCGTTATTTGGATTAAATAATGAAAAAATGGTAGCAATGGTTACTGATAATGGATCTAATTTTATTAAGGCTTTCAAAATATTTGGCTTAAGCAGTAGCACTATTTTGGAAATTGAAAGAATGAGCGCGAATGATGTGAACGAGTTAGAAGAAAAGGAAAATAATGACTTGGCAGAAACAAATAATGACGAAAGTATGAATGAGACAGATGAGGCTCAGGGATCGGCATTAATGATTTTTTCAGTAATACTTTTTACTTTAATTACTGATTACATGATTAATCAAGTAATCGGAATAAAAAATTTTTAATTATTATACTTGAAGTTCGCATGGTAAGACATATGCGAACATTACCGCCCGCCTTGCCCGACACGGGCGGGCAATCACCAACTATGACAGTCTTTCGCCGGGTATCCGACTTATTCCAATTGCTGCTTGCAAGTGGACAAAGCATCCTGATTTTCAAGATCCACCGGTAGTAACGCCAACTTGGTGATTGGTCGGACCACTTCGGTGGAAGCCGTTTTTACGGTAACGACCCGGATCAGGCCATCAGGACCTGGGTGGCACTGGACGATGCGACCAAGGTCCCATTTGGTGGGTGGCAGATTTGGATTTCGAAGTAGGACGATTTGTCCGACTTGAACTGGAGCTGACGGAACCCGCCATTTCGAACGGTGTTGGCACGACTTTACATAGTCTTGCGACCAAAGTTGCCAGAATCGTTCCAACATTTGTTGCATGACTTGCCATCGGGACAAGCGGTTTACCGCAGTATCTAAAAGCGTCGGCATCGGAGGCGCTGTAAGGGGGCCGCCGATCAGGAAGTGCGCGGGCGTCAACGCGTCCAGGCTCTCTATATCATCATTGAGAGGAGCTAACGGTCGAGAATTCATACAAGCTTCAATGCGGCAGAGGAGCGTCGCAAGCTCTTCGTACGTGGGAGTACTTTTCCCTAGGACCCGTTTTAAATGGTGTTTCATCACTTTCACCCCGGCCTCCCACAGACCTCCGAAGTGAGGTGCTGCAGGAGGGATGAATTTCCATTCGACGCGATCCTCCGCCACACGAGCACGCAATTCCTTGTCTGTTATCGCCGCTTGATAAGCGGCGCGTACTGCCTTATCGGCGCCCTGAAAATTAGTGCCGCGATCGCTGTGCACAGTGCGAGGCAATCCGCGTCGTGAACAAAATCGATCAAAGGCAGCGATGAACGCGGGTGTTGAATATGAAGTTACAATCTCCAAATGGACCGCTTTCGTTGCCATACACAAAAAAAGCGCGATATACCCGGGCTGGGATCGCGTTCCGCGACCGCCCGCCATTCGGACAGCGACGGGGCCCGCGTAATCCACGCCGCATTCAACAAAGGCGCGACTTGACCGATGAACGCGAATCGCTGGCAGCGAACCCATAAGTTGAGTCGGTATTTCGGCGCGAATACGAGCACATGTAACACACCGATAGACAATGGACTTAACCGATTTTCGCGCCTGAATGAGCCAAACCGAGTTCCTCAGTGTGCTGAGCGTTAACGAGATCCCGCCATGGAGACACCGGCGATGTGCATCACGGATCAAGAGTTGTGATACGTGACCCAACCCTAGAATGATCGGATGTCTCGATGCTGGGTCGAAAGGGCTCAAGGACAGCCGACCACCGACGCGAATGAGACCATCAGATCCCAGAACTGGATTCAATCGCCGAAGAGCACTGGTCCGCGGCATTGAGACACCTACTTTTAAGCGACGAATACCGTCGGAGGCGGGCTCAAGCGTCGAAAGAATGCGCAATTCCTCGGGAAACTGCTGTTTTTGTACAACACTGAAGACACGGGTCGTGGCTTGCGCAAGTGCCTCGGCCTCAGACATGGCGTCAACTTCCAATTGCCGAAGGCCGCGTTGTCTAGCGGAGCGCATCCATCTAAGAATTTTAGCAATAACGCGTATCAATCTCGGCCATGATGAAAATCGCTGAAAGATCGGACATTGTGTGGCCGGTGCCGCGACTGTCTGTAGCGACACGACCCTGGCTTCGAGATGAGCATCGCTGTCTACCGTGGGTGAGCAGGTAGGCCATGCCTCCGATTCATGAGCCAGCCAATGTGGGCCATGCCACCACAACCTTGAGGCGCTAATGTCCGTCGGTTTCACTCCACGAGAGGCTAGGTCTGCCGGGTTTTCAGCACCGGGAACGTATCGCCACGTAACATCGGGAAGTACCGATTGTATTTCTGCGACCCGGTTGGCGATAAATGTCTTCCAATGTGACGATTGCTCACTCAACCAGTGGAGCATAGTCGCAGCATCGGTCCAACAATATACGTTGCAGCCGTTGAACGCGCTGAGTGACTGGAGCTTGGAAATCAGTCGCGCAAGTAACAGAGCTCCGCATAATTCCAGGCGAGGCACGGTGAGTTGCTTGGTGGGGGCGACTCTCGTCTTGCTAATGAGCAACGCCGTTGTAACTTCACCCGAATTAGTTTCTACACGGACATAGACCACAGCTGCATATGCTTTGGTCGAGGCATCCGAAAACCCGTGCATCTCGAAGCGCTGAGCTTCAGATGATGTGCCAATCCAACGGGGAACTATTACATTATCTAATTTAGGCAATGAGTCGTAGTAATCACGCCACGCTGATGTCAGGTTCTCCGGGAGGGGAGTATCCCAGGCGAGATCCGACATCCAAAGCGTTTGCATGAATATTTTCGCCAGTATAATTACGGGAGAGATGAATCCTAGACGATCGAACAGGCGAGAAATAACCGATAAGACTGTCCGCTTCGTGAGAACAGGCATCTCCACGCGGTCCACCGCGAACCGATAGCAATCGAGTGCAGGTAGTCGTGATTCCGAGAATTTTGACGCCGGCGTCAGCTTGGACCGTTTTTTCAAGCGCTAATCCGTGATTGTGGGGATCGATGTCGCTCAGTAATTCGGGTGCATTACTCGACCACTTTCTCAGTTCAAAGTGTCCGCGCTTTAAAAGGGCAACCAATTGATCGCGAATTAATCGAATCTGTGATATCGAATCAGCCCCGAATAGCGCGTCGTCGATATACATGGACTCCATCAGAGCACGCTTACCGAGAGGAAATGAGGCGCCCTCGTCGTCAGCGAGCTGTTTGAGGACGCGTAGTGCCAAAAACGGGGCACTTGCCGTACCGTATGTAACCGTGAGTAATCGATACTCGTTTATGGCGTCTGCGGGCGAACTGCGCCATAAAATTCTCTGCAAATCTATATCGCAATTGTCGATTAATATTTGCCGGTACATCTTGGCGATGTCGGCAGAATAGACAAACCGGTGGGTTCGCCATTGAGTATGTATCAATGACAGATCGGATTGTAGTTTTGGACCAATCATCTGGAGATCGTTAAGCGATCTACCGTTTGTCGATAAGGCCGACGCGTTGAAAACTACACGAGTCTTTGTTGTGGAGCTAGAGGCCTTCACAATCGAATGGTGGGGCAAATACACACATCTGGAATCTAGTTCCGGCGCAGGCGCAATTTACATATGACCGAGCGCCTCATATTCCGTGAGGAATTGCATATATGATTCGCGTTCGCTGGGACGAGAAGAAAGTCGCTTTTCTAGTGATAATAAGCACCGTTGTGCCCGCGACCGTGTGTCGCCTAGGTCGATAGGTGACGGAGACTTTAACGGCAACCGAACGACGTATTGGCCATTCGAAGTACGACTGTGAGTTTGTCGGAAATGTTCCTCACAGCGGACGTCTTCCTCAGACGCGGGATACACCTTTGGAATTTCCTCAATCTCCCAAAATCGAGACATCAGATCGCTCAGGTCTTCCGATACTTGCGTGTGATGCACATGTACCGGGAATGTGCTGGCCTTTATTGTCGGTGAATGAGTGCACCCTGACAGAACCCAACCGAATACCGTGTTCTGTGCCACCGGTTCGCCCATACGCCCACGTTTGATACCGTCGCGAAGCATATACGGATATAAGTCGGCTCCGATTATTGCGTGGATCGGAATGTCGCTCGTTGGACATTCATCCGCCATTACAAGACCTTCGAGATGTGGCCAGGTTGACAGCGGATGACGGAACCGTGGGAGGTAGGTAGTAATCGTGTCTAAAACTAAGGCGTCCGTCGAGAATACTGGAACGGTCGCCTGAGTCGGGGTAATCGTGATGGGCACGATTCCTTTGACCGTGCTTGTAATACCGCCGCCGGTTCCGCTCACCGCTGTATTTACCGGATATGATCGCGTTTGTAGTGCATTCACGACGTCGCGTGTAATGAATGAATGCGTGGAGCCTTGGTCGAGCAGTGCCCGGAGCTTCACCGTTCTTTGCGATGGCGCCGTTATCAAAATCCATGCCGTTGCGAGTACAACGTGCGCCGATTGTGGAGTGGCCACAAGGTGTGATTGTACGAGATTGGTATCCACGCGGGGTTCAGATGCACTCGAAATACTGGCAACGGCATCAGGCACTGTACGCGTATCCGTGCGCGCTTTATTCGCGTTCGTTCCGCGATGCAACAGCGTATGATGTCGAGACTTGCATTGAAAACACGACCGCTTACTCGGACACGCCTTTTCTTGATGCCCGGAACCGAGACAATTGAGACATACGCGCATTTGTCTTGCAGTCTCCCAACGATTGGCGACTGACTTAGCTGTAAAATTCTTACACCGATAAAGGGCATGTGAGTCCTCACAAAGAGGGCACTTAACGGCTGTTGCATCGGAGAGATGCGATTGCACTTTCGATGCGCCTGATTTGTGCGACGCCGACGCCGATGACTTTGACTTGCTTAGCAATACACCAGCCGCTTCTAAGGCTCGAATGCGCGAATTACAAAAACTTTCGAAATTAGCAAATGTTGGAAAATCGGAATCTTCGTTAAACGTTAGTTCCCAAGCTTCGCGTGTTTCTCGATCGACGCGTTGTGTAAGAATAAACACGAGAATGTCATCGTGCACAGGATGATTCATCGATTTTAGAGCCTCAATACTCTCTTTGGCAGCATCGAGAAGCTTGCGTAGCTCAGAGGGAGAATTTTCGCGTGTGACCGACTTCAATGCAAATAAATCTGCTAAATGTAGGTTAAGTAATCGGCGTTCATTCGCGTAGCGTTCGGTTAACAATTTCCACGCGATGGGGAAATTCGCCGCGGTGGTTTGTACGTTTTTTAATAATTGTGCAGCCTCGCCGTCGAGACACGATTTTAGGTAATGCAGACGTTGTAAATTATCGAATGACGGATCGTCAATAAACATTGATTTGTAATAGTCGCGAAATTCTTCCCAATTTTTATAATCACCGGAAAATCGCGGTAAAGTCATGCGTGGCACTTGCGCAATACGACGAACTGGTGCAGATATGGATATCATCTCTGCAGGCGGAAATGCTGAAGCTGGAGTTTGCGTCGATGTAGGGGGTCCGTACAGGAACTGCTTGAGGGCACCGACAGTCTCGAGGTAAATTTCTTCATAAGTGGCAAATTCTTGATCTGTGAAGTAGTTATCCGCTGCCTGCTTGTCAGCTTTATTGTAGGCAGACAAATCCACGTCGACTGAGGCGCATTTTGGCCAAATTAACTGCACATGCTCAAGCCTGGCTCCGGCTTTTGCGGGATTTAATTGACTTAAATCGCCTGCAACCATGTCGGCGGCTCGCTTGATAGCCGCAAATTGCAATCGTTGCTCTCGTAACAAATTGTCGAAGTGTCCGTCGTCCTCTACATCAGACATGTCGATGTCTATATCGATTTATTCCGTAGTGGTATGAAATCGTCCGCGGATCGAGCTATCCGCCGTCAGGTATCCGTAATTGACGGTGTATCTTCCGCCGTGGAACAGAAGCGTTGCAGACCCGAGGGAGGGGTGCTCGCGCTTGTACGTATACGACAATGGAGATAGCGCCGCGACTTGCGACCAAGTCTTGGAGAGAGTGAGAACACCGCCGCGTGGCTCCTGCGTGCCGTGCCGATGGCGCTTGTATGTGTAGCGTGAGGAGTCCCGTGGCAGGGATCCACGTGACGTCACCAATTGCGGGTTGGTGCGTGAAGAGCTGTGGCGACGATTGTCGAAGCCTCACGGAGATGTCTGGACGGCGCTTACACGTGGCCGCTATTCGGAAATTAATGTTCCGTATGACAACTGGAAAATGCACGTTTTTCCACTCGCGAACAATCCCGATCCTGGCAGGATCGCCAAATGTCTTCTTGTCGGGTGACGGCTAGCGATAAGCTCGTAAACCCGTGAAACGAAACGAGGATGTCGGTTCAGGATCGGGAAGCTAGCACGAATTATCACAAGTTTGCAACCACTGTTTTTGAATTTATCCAATTTAATGTCATCACAGCAAGTGTACAGCAAATACAATCGCAACGTCGCGATCTGATGACCGGGGGACGCGACAGAAAACGCGGAGATCGTTTCGGCCGAACTTGCGGGCGAACTCGTAGCGCGTCGGTGTCTCTCCTCGAACTGCCTAACACCGGGTCGAAGTCCGAATCGCGGAACTTTTCCGGATATCGGTATGCGCGCCGCGTGTCGCTCATATAAACCTCGTATCGCGTCCTAACCGAAATCAAAGTATCATATTTATTACACATGTTAGAGGTCGCAATTGGCATCGAACCGAGTAGGTTGACTACGGAAGTTCGCATGGTAAGACATATGCGAACAATGGTTATTAATTTAATGGATTATGACTAGATATATCTATAAGATACTGTATAAAATGCCTGCGAATCACGTCCTCATATATACTAAATTTCGGCACATTTCACTTGCGAGAAACCTAATTGATTAAGTTGGGTACTTTAACTACGGATTACGCGTTTATTATACAAGATACGACAAAAGTGTATTAAACCTTATTTGTAGAGGATTTTTCGCTCTGCATTTT